TCGCGCCCAGGCACGACAGAGTGCAGAGGACCTGGCAGCCCGCACGTTAGTGGCCAGTGGCCGGCACTGCAGCCTGCCCCGGCTCTTCCAGCCGGCCTCTCTGCTGAGTCTGCATTACCGTTCAGAACCTAGACCTGGCGCTTCCCCAGAGGAAGGCCGGGGCTGCATGGGACGCTGGGCGGGACCAGAGCAGTAGGAGTTGGGGGGACGGTCAGCAGTCCCCACTCACAGACCCGCATGGCCCAGGGCAGCGGCGCGGATGGTTTGATCCCTCTGTCGACCACCCTCTACGCCTGGGCCTCTCAGTTCCCACCTTGAGAACCAGGACAAACCAGTCCCTTGGTCATGGAGGCCAGGCGTGATGGTGTCCGTGCCTCGGCGGAGGCACAGAGAGGCCAGAAGGGTCAAAGCTTCCCTGAGTTCTGTGTATCGGCTCGTTGGGAAAAGTCACGACACATTTTCCTACAGGGAAAGACGCCCTGACTTTCCCAACCCTAATACAAATGGCGTGTGTTTCCGGGCCAGCAAGTGGTGTGATGGTTGGGGTGCTGCACTCCCACGGGGCTGCCCGTGTTCGGGTCCTGGACCTGGTGGCTTGCTTTCTCTTTTCCTCTGTCGCTCTGGTGAGTGTGCATGCCCTATAGCAATTAAATAATAATAATAACAATAATAGTAAATAAATGATTCTTTAAAAATAAGTAGTACAGGTTGGAGACTGTTTCTGACGTCCGTCTGTTCCCTTAATCCAAACAGGAAAAAGAAGGGGAGCAAAGGCCCCCCCGTGGGGATCTACAATGGCAACGTCAACACCCAGATGCCCCGGCCGGTGGGCAAGTTCCAGAAAGCACGCAAGGACAATGACTCGCACGTGTATGCGGTCATCGACGACACCATGGTGTACGGCCACCTGCTGCAGGACTCCGGCTCCTTCCTGCAGCCCGAGGTGGACACCTACCGGCCCTTCCAGGGCCACATGGGGGACTGCCCGCCCTCCCCGCCCCCTGTGTGCTCCAGGGCGCCGACGGCAAAGCTGACGGCTGGCGAGCCGGCCCCCTGCCTCCCTCCCGAGTCCGAGGATGAGCCATACACCTTCTCGCATCCCAGCACGGGTGAGGGACACCAGGGGGACACGGGCAGTCCCCTGCTGGGCACCCAGGAGCCAGTGGAGCCGGCGGAATAGCGTGGACCGTCCGAAGATCTTGCAGGAGTGTGTGAGCAGGGCAGAGACACCGTTCGGTGCTGCTAACCAGAACCCACTGAGGAGCACTCACATGGAAGGGACGGAGGATTTTCTGGGTACCAACCACGTTAGTCTGAGGACTCACTCCAGCGGAGAACTCCGAGAACAATGCGCTCTGACCCAGTGCAGCCACTAGTGTGTGTGCCTCCCACACCAAGGTAGTGGCGCGGACCAGCCCGTACCGAGAGGAGGGCGGTGACCGCGGGAGCCCGGGCCGCTGCTCTCACTGGGGGCCGATGGGAAGCACAGTGCGCCTCTTCTCTGCTATGAGCTGGCGGTGCGGCCCCGCGCATCCCGGCAGGCTAACTGTTCACCATTTCCTTTTAACCGGGATCGAAAACCCCAGGCCCGGAGGCTGTCTCCCTGGGACCTCAGTGGATGGCGATTTCTGGAGACTTACATCAGAGAAGGGGCGACCCCTGTGTTTTAAAGCCAAGGCCCCCACGTGAAGCGTGTCGAGTCACTGGAAACCAGCCAAACGAGCCACTGAAGCAGGTGTGGCCCTGTGGCAGCCCAGCGCCCGGCCCCCCGGCCTGCGCCCGGAGGAGGGCGTTCCCTACTGCTGTGGCCGTCACACGGGAGGCAAGGGTCCGACGGACCACTGACCTGGGTGACACTAGGGGACTGCTCTGCGTGGGTCTGCAGTGCTTCGTGGAAATAATTTATTCATTGTAGATACTTTTCAGGCGGCATTTTATTCATTTGCTATACTTTTTTAAATAAACGAATGTACAAAAAGTATAATAATAAGAGTGCGGTTGTGTAGCTGCCCCAGCGTCCTCATGCCCAGTCCATAGCGGCTGACGGGCAGCCTTTGCGGTGG